TCGGCCTTTTTTTCCATTGAAAACAAATAACAGTGATTACTTTTTTCCCCAGTTGCCAGCTGTCCATCTTTACCTGACGATTTGATCCCTGTCGGTGGGGGTGTCTATCCCTCCTTCTGTCGCGGTCCTATTCCTCCCTATTACGGCACCACCTGTCATTTCTACTGTCGTAACGGATTCCTCCTGGTGGGTCCTGCAGACCAGAAGTTGACCTGCCTCCCTGACGGAACATGGGACCAGGACCCGTACACACTCAATGTGCAGTGTCAAGGTGAGTGCAGAACAAGAGATCAGTCCTCGTAGGGAAGGTTGTCTGCTCCATGCAAGCTAGTTGAGAGCTCTGTGAGGAATACAAGCAATGTCGCTATAATGAGTCCATCTCAAGGCTTCTCAAGGCCATTAGAAGTCATCTAGTCTCATTCCAAGTCACAAACTAAGCAAGTGAACTTTCACAAAGGCATTTTTGGTGACTTTTTATTCCCTGTTTACCTGTAACAGACTTTTGACGGATGCGCTATTTTAATGTGAAATTGAAACCACAGCATTTAATCTACCAAAGCCATCAAAACATAGTCACACTCATATACAGGAAACTTATTGTTGGAGGTCACAGAGATAACAGTGCAACAATGTGATGGAATGATGAATGATTGAGGGGAGATTGGAATGCATTTCAATCAAAAACATCTGGCACCCTCTTTTTAAACAGTTTATAAGTTATGGAATAGATTCGGGGAACATGTTGTTGCATTTTGTCATGAAAAAGATCTATCAGCTTCTCTTGCCGAAGCTTGGAGTCACTGCTAAAAGGTTTCGTCTATGCTTAAAACACCATCAGATTTTCCACTCGTCAACACCAACAGTTACAAGTTATTGTGTTAAAAGGAGACTTTTCTTATTGTGATTATTTTTGGGTAAACAGACATTATGCCACCAACCCTGCGTGTCTGCCCAGGCTCCCTGTCTGGCTCCATGTCCGGCCAGACTTTTGGAGTTGTGTTGTCCTTCAATGAACCCATGGCCGTTGACAACTCAGGAGCCCAACTGACATTGATCAAGACTCCACCGGACATTGCTTCCCCGTACAATTTCACTCAGGACACCGATGTATCCTATGTCTTCACAGACCCTGCAGGGAACAGTGTGTCATGCAATTTCACCGTCAGCATTCAAGGTGGGATCCAATGTATTTGTCACTGTCTTGAATGTTGTATTTTCACTTTTTTCTCAACCCATTTACACAGAAGAACATGTTAGTAAGCAAACACATGGACAGCTGACAGGGTAACTGCCGTGCATGCCCTGAGTCACTGCCAGTAGGCGTGTATATGGTCTGCTCATTTAAGGTCACACTCATGTTTTGCCTCCAAACAGGGGTGTAAAATCTCTGTTTTTTTTAGTGCATTTCCCCTCATTGTTGACTTTGCCCAATTTTATTTTCTGCTTGTTGCCATCTGTGGGCTGGATGTACCTCTATGTAGCTAGTTGGGCGGTCAGTTACATTGATTCCATTCAAAACACATTCAAGTCTCTTTCGGAGTTCAATTTCACATGACATGCTCTATTTACCTGCTCCTTCTGTTCTCTTGTTCCGCAGATAACCTGTCACCAGTCCTTGAGTTTTGCCCCCCAGACCAAAACATTACAGCTTATGATAGACTTACCACTGTGACTTGGCAAGAGGTAGGATTCCAGATTGAATTGGTACAAAAAAGTGGCTGCTCCGTTACTGTGCTTCTCTCCATTGCCTGTCCATAGACTTCTGAGGACCTGGTTAAAAATTCTGTATAACAATAAGGACAATTTATTGGCAAACCTGTAAGGGGTCATATTATAACAGAAGATTTAAATGGAAAGTAAACATCAGTAAACATTCATATATTCGGCAGTAAGTAACGACATGCCTGCAACTACTAGTAGATATGGTGAGGGTACAAGGATGGTACTAAGCATCATAAATGGGTAGACAGACAGTCATTCTGTATCAAGTCTTGACCAGGGCAGAGCTTATGTGATTGAATGGCTCAATCTGTGTGGACTATGCCGGGTCCACACAATAGTTTCCCTCTCTGAAAAACAAGTTCAGAGCAGTTTGGGGTCAGGCTAGCAAAGCAAAGGTGACGAGCTCAGGAAATATTCAGTGATTTCAACGAGTTAGAAAGGAATGTCCACATGCCC